GTGCATCTTGGATCTTCACAGCAGGTCCAAAAGATCTGTTAAGATTGCATATTGCTGTGGATTGTTCACATGGAGTCTATATAAAGTGACTTTGGGGGGGGGGCAGTATTTGCAAAGCCCATGTGGCTCAAGCTTCTTCTGTCTGGCTCTCAGGTAAACATTGCTGGAACGTTCAATGTTATTCGGCTGACTGCAGGTGAAATGGGGAAGAATGAACCAGATTCAGATGGACACAGAGGGGTCATCATCAACACTGCCAGTGTGGCTGCTTTTGAGGGACAGGTGAGTTGCATGCTTTCTCTGCCAACTATCCTACAGTGCATAGTGGCAAGGGAGTAAATGGCTTGTAGCACTTGGTCATGCTTGGCTCGCAGATTGTAGGGGAGAGGTATGGTTGGGAAGAGTCCTGGAGATGGTGGTTGGAAGCAGCCTGTGGTTTGTGCAACTCCTGACAGGAGTAAAGATGTCTCTATAGACTTGATTGTGGCACACAGTCAAGCTTGGGTTCCCATCTCCTTCACTTCTACTACCCTGCTATATAGGTAAACAGTGTCCAACAGAAGATTATCGTTTCGTCCAATCCCTGACTCTGACAGTCGGCCGTCAAAGAGAAATGCAAGGAATTCCTTTAGAAGGAACGCCAACCCCAAGGGGCTGACTTGGACCACACTTTAGTGTTCTAGGGCAACCCCATTCCCCCCCCCCCCCAAAGCTACTCTTTTAAAGGATTGCTGTTGACTAATTGCTTTTCCTCCATGATATCTACTATTCATGCCATCACTTTGCACAAGATTTTCAGATACTTCTTCTAACCTGTGAAGTAATTGTTTGTTATGACACCAAGGTGTTAACTGTATACCCTACAGGTTGGCCAGGCTGCCTATTCAGCTTCCAAAGGAGGGATTGTGGGAATGACGCTGCCCATCGCCCGAGATCTTGCTCCTATTGGGATCCGTGTTGTTACTATTGCACCAGGTATCAAACCTGCCATGAAACTGATAATTGGAAGAGGGGGGTAGAATATGTTTTGGATAGGGGAGGACATCTGGAGAGGCCTTGCTCTCGATCCCGCCAGCATCACAGGCGCAATTGGTGGGGATGAGACAGAGGGCCTTTTCGGTGGTGGCCCCTCAACTCTGGAACTCATTCCCTAAGGACATCAGACAGGCCCCAACCCTGGCAGTTTTCAGGAGGAGCTTGAAGACGTGGTTGTTCCAGTGTGCCCTCCTGGATTAATGATCCCATAGCACTTTGTCCCTCTAAAGCACTTTACATTTTTAGGTCTTCCCATATGTCTCTCCGCAAACACCACTATCACCTGTTCGTCCATGTTCAGCACTATTTCCAATTTTAATTTTTCATTTGGCCTTCCTATAGTTTTAATTGTATGTTGTCGTATTGATAATGTTATATGTTTATGTTTTATTTTAATTGCTTGTATTGTTGTGATCATTGCTTGTATTGTGTGTTTGGGCTCGGCCTCATGTAAGCCACACCGAGTCCCTTGGGGAGATGGTAGCGGGGTACAAATAAAGTGTTATTATTATTAAAGTGTTATTAAATGGTTACAGGCAGTGTACTTCTGAATGAAAACATGTTCTAAAATTCTGTTAACAAAATAATGTTAATTCTGCAATCTGCATGTGTTATATAAATTAGAAACAATATGCAAATTTGCTTTTTTTTTGTAGCTTATGTTTTGTTATTTACCTATTTCGTTTGGATTGGAGGAGGCTTGGTAGCCCCCATCCTCTGGGAAATTTCTCTCAGGCTATGTCTTAGGTTTTAGCAGACATTGTGCAGTTTCCAGCCTTTATTTATCATGAAAAGTCCTAGAAAAATGTTTTCCAAATGAAAACTCACATTTTTGGAAGTCAAGACCTAATAATGCATTATGTGCTCCAGGAAATTGTATTATGCATCCAATTTTATAATTATTGTTCATCTGAAAGTCACCTCCAGATTGGATTACTGTAATGCACTCTACGTGGGGCTGCCCTTGAAGATGGCTCAGAAATTTCAATTGGTCCAGCGGGCGGCAGCCAGGTTACTTACTGAGGTGACTTACAGGGAGCGGTCAACCCCCCTGTTTAAGGAGCTCCATTGGCTGCCGTTTATTTTCCGATCCCAATTCAAGGTGCAGGTTTTGATCTACAAAGCCCTGAACGGTTTGGGATCCGCCTACCTGCGTAACCGCATTTCTGTGTACAAACCCACACGATCTCTCCGTTCATCTGGGGAGGCCCTGCTCTCGCTCCCACCTCCCTCGCAGGCGTGATTGGTGGGGATGGGGGAGAGGGCCTTCTCCATGGTTGCCCCCTGACTCTGGAACTCACGGCCCAAGGATATCAGACAAGCCCCCACCTTGGCAGTCTTTAGGAGGAGCCTGAAAACGTGGCTGTTTCAGTGTGCCTTCCCTGAATAAAGGAAACAATCCCCTGCAAATACTCTGAGAAGCACTTTAATTACCCGTTGGGTTGTTCTTGCCTTGATTTAAAACCTCCAGATAGAGACATCCTCTGTTCATGTCCAGCATTTATTTTTAAAGTTTTAACTATTTATTTATTTATTTATTTATTTATTTATTTACTGCGCTTATATACCGCAATTCTCAGCCCCAAGGGCGACTCATTATTACTATTACATTTGGCCCAGCCATAGGTTTTTAAATTCTTGTGTTTATTGTCTACTTGTGAATTATATTAATTGTATAGTTTATTTTGTTTATTGTTTGTTATTTTATTACTGCTTGTTGTTTTGATGTGTTTTTGGGCTTGGCCTCATGTAAGCCACTCCGAGTCCCTTGGGGAGATGGTGGTGGGGTATAAATAAAGTATTATTATGTGTGCCAAGGATGGGAGCAGCCCTGAATATATTTTTTAACTTTACCAGGTTTGTTTGCAACACCCCTGCTGGCATCGCTTCCTGAGAAAGTGCGGACATTCTTGGCACGCCAAGTGCCCTTCCCAAGTCGTCTTGGTGCTCCAGAGGAGTATGCCCACCTGGTGCAATGCATCGCAGAGAATCCTATGATCAATGGTGAGGTGATCCGGCTGGATGGGGCCATCCGAATGCAGCCCTGATGTTTGAGCCTGGCTTGTGTGAGCAAGAAAGCCTGTCTTCCTTGTTAACTGGTTGCGGTTAATTCCACTGGACCATAATCATAGTACTTTGAACTTCTTGATTCTCAGCATTGGCCAAGTTGCACTCTCTCATCTGGGATCCCGGCCAACAAAGCTAATGATTAACATTGGATTTTAATAAACAACTTACGATTCTGCTTTCCTGCTTGCTATATGAGGATTAGGTATACACTGCACCAAAAGAAAAGTCAAGGAAATACAAATCTTAAATTGTGCAAACAAGGGGACACACATTACATATCTGTTTAGTTTCCATGAAATGTAGAATTCTTGGTTTTTTAAAAAAAGCATAAGGGCACAAGGTGGTAAGTCATGGTAAGTGGAGGTTATGTTTTAGAATATGATACAGACTTCTTAATCCTCAACCAAACCATTTCTCTTCTCTTCTAGCTATTGAAAAATAAAAAAAAATGGGCATAACCTGGTAGGTTGGCTACATCATATTCTGCTGTGCCACTGGTTAATAGTTGTTCAGGATACAGCCATGATGAGAGCAAGGCTGTCAAACTGACTTGTGGTTGTCTTTCACATGACTGGTATGGACTATCTGAAATTACATCAATCTGCTGGTCTGACCTGCAAGTAGAGAAGGCTAGCAGCTAATCCTCCAAAGAAAGGCCATTTAGGTATGTCCTTGGACTCATACCCCCTCCTTCTATTCTAGGTGATGGATTATATTCCCCTGCACATTTGCAAAACAAACCAGATATCGTATATACTCGAATATAAGCCGAGGCACCTAATTTTACCACAAAAACTGGGAAATCTTATTGACTCGAGTATAAGCCAAAGGTGAAAAATGCAGCCGCTACTGGTCAGTTTGACAGGTGACCACCCAGTTTTCTGTCATTCCCCCCCCCCTCGCGGAGCACGAGCTTTCCTCGGCAGAGGAGAAGGAAGCCCCTGCGGCAGGCTTGCTCTCCTTCTTCCTGGTCCCATGTGCGGTGGCGGGGGCAGCGGCGGGAGGAAGCAGAAAAGCCGCGAATGGGGCGAGGGGGGAGGGGAAAGTGCTCACCGCTCCCCTTCCTCTCTTGCCGTGCGTGCACCTTCTTCCTGGTCCCATGTGTGGCCACAGTGGCAGGGGCAGCGGCGGGAGGACGCAGGAAAGCCGGTTATGGGAGAGCCTGCATCTTCCTCGGCAGCGGCAGTAAAGGCGCGCACAGGAGGAGAGAAAGGCGTGCACTTTTCCCTTCTCCCTCGCACGTCTTCCCTGCCTCCGCGCCGAAGAAGGTGTGCACACGGCAAGAGAGGAAGGGGAGTGGCGTGCACTTGCCCTGCCCCCCTCACCCCATACGCGGCTTTCCTGCATCCTCCCGCTGCTGCCCCCGCCACCTGTGGCCGCGCATGGGACAAGGAGGTGCACGCATGGCAAGAGGAAGGGGAGCGGTGAGCACTTTCCCCTCACCCCATTCACAGCTTTTCTGCTTCCTCCCGGCACAGCAGCCACGCATGGGACCAGGAAGAAGGAGAGCAAACCTGCGGAAAAGCCTGCCGCAGGGGCTTCCTTTTTCTCTGCTGCCGCCGAGGCTGCCAAGGAAGGCTTGCCTTTCCTTCCTCCTCCGTCGTTCCCTGACCTGAATATAAGCCGAGGGGAGGTTTTTCATCCTGAAAAAAGGCTGAAAAACTCGGCTTATATTTGAGTATATACGGTACCTTAGAAGCCACATTATATTGAACAAAGTTCACACAACAGTGGACAATGTCATTTGTGCAGAGCTGAATTTTCTACACAAATGTAAGCACACAAACAAACAGCCTACCAGTTAAAATGGCTTCTTGTGCCAATATGTGAATTAGTCCAAGCTTGATTTTGTTTGTGGTCCCTGGAGAACATTTTTGTTTGGTCCTTGCATCATGCAGCCACCAGAGGGCTCTCTTTGTCTATTAAAATACCTTTATTGATTCTAGAGACTTCACTTCTGTAAACAACATCTGCATATGCTCCAGTCAGCGGCTGCTAGTGTTAAACTGCAAATAATAGTGGGCTGTAGGTGTGTTGGTGTAGACTTCTTTCTCCAGATACTGTAAGCTGTAAAACAAAAAAATGGAAATGTTTGCTGTGGGGAAAGCAGGTAAAATCATAGAAACACAAACCCCAAGGGCCATGCAGTCCAACCCCCTGCCATGCAGAAAAAGCACAATGAAAGCACCCCTGACAGCCATCCAGCCTCTGTTTAAAAGCCTCCAAAAAGGAGATCCTGCCAGGTATTGTGCTGCAGATCAGTACTGGAATCTGTATTTAGTGACAGAATTTGACTCGGGCACATTGGGAAATCAGACAGAAGCACCTGGATGTATTTATAATGTGCTTCCCCACCACTGGGATGCTATAGAGCAGCATTTCTCTACCTGGGGGTCGGGACCCCTGGAGGGGTTGGGAGGGGGTGTCAGAGGGGTCACCAAAGGCCATCAGAAAACACAGTATTTTCTGTTGGTCATGGGTTCTCTGTGGGAAGTTTGGCCCAATTCTATCATTGGTGGGGTTCAGAATGCTCTTTGATTGTAGGTGAACTATAAATCCCAGCAACTACAACTCTATAATGTCAAGGTCTATTTTCCCCAAACTCCATCTGTCTTCATATTTGGGCATATTGAGTATATAAAAGCCAATGCAATTCTAGGCTGCATCCATTGAATTCCAGTGTCCTGGAGCCATGAATCCCTCTGAAGAACCACTTGAGTCAGTGTTTCTCAACCTGGAGGTCGGGACCCCTCGGGGGGGGGGGTCACGAGGGAGGGGTCAGAGGGGTTTCTGTTGGTCATAGGTGTTCTCTTATGGGACGTTTGGCCCAATTCTATCATTGGTGGGGTTCAGAATGCTCTTTGATTGTAGGTGAACTATAAATCCCAGCAACTACAACTCTAAATGTCAAGGTCTATTTTCCCCAAACTCCACCAGGGTTCACATTTGGGCATATTGAGTATTCGTGCCAAGTTTGTTCCAGATCCATCATTGTTTAAGTCCACAGTGCTCTCTAGATGTAGGTGAACTACAACTCCAAAATTCAAGATCATTGCCTACCAAACCCTTCCAGTATTTTCTGTTGTTCATGGGAGAACTGTGTGCCAAGTTTGGTTCAATTCCATTGTTTGTGGGGTTCAGAATGCTCTTTGATTGTAGGTGAACTATAAATCCCAGCAACTACAACTCCCAAATGACAAAATCAACCCCTTCCCAACCTCACCAGTATTCAAATTTGGGCATATCGGGTATTTGTGTCAAATTTGGTCCGGTGAATGGAAATGCATCCTGCATATCAGATATTTACATAACAGTAGCAAAATTACAGTTAGGAAGTAGCAACAAAATTTATTTTATGGTTGGGGGTCACCACAACATGAGGAACTGTATTAAGGAGTCACGGCATTAGGAAGGTTGAGAAAAACTGCTATAGAGAGGCTATATGGCCATGGTCTAGAGGCATTCTCCTGACGTTTCGCCTGCATCTATGGCAAGCATCCTCAGAGGTAGTGAGGATGCCTCTGAGGATGCTTGCCATAGATGCAGGCAAAACGTCAGGAGAGAATGCCTCTAGACCATGGCCATATAGACTGAAAGAAACCTACAACAACCCAGTGATTCTGGCCATGAAAGCCTTCGACAATACACTGCTATAGAGAGTTATGCACCTAGGTAAATTTGAGCTATCTATTTCAAGAGCATTTCTAGTCCACCAATGCCTTGGAAAGAGGTGGATGAGCTCCCTCTATCAGCTCCAGCTCCTCATGCAGGGACATGAGAGAAGCCTCCCACAAGGATGATAAAAACATCAATTCATCCGGGCGTCCCCTGGGCAACGTCCTTGCAGACGGCCAATTCTCTCACACCAGAAGCAACTTGCAGTTTCTCAAGTCACTCCTGACACAACAAAAATAATAATAAAAAGATTTGAGGTTTCAAGAGCAAACAAACACCTCTGCCTCCTTTATGGTCATTAATATAGTAGCTTAGAGGGATCATGAACTGTACCAACATTTTAGGGTCCTACCCTTTGCCCACTCAGTGCTATGGTTGCTTTTGACACAGCTCTTACACACTGCAATGGAAATCAGGGCAAGCTCCCACTCTGCTGGGTTTCATCTGACAACTCACTAGTCTCCCACGTACAGTTGCTTTCCAGCCTTGGGCTACTCACTTTGCCTTCTGTGCCTCCGCCAGCTCCAGGTTGTAGCCATCCAGGTCCTTCCTCAGCTGCTGGCGAAAAGTCTGCTCCTGAGCGTCCATTTCCATGGCAGCACGATCGGCCAAATGCCGCTGTCGATCCCACTCGGCATCCCGCTGCCGCTCTTCTTCCCGTAGCCTCTGTAGGGATGAAGAGACCGAGGAGAATCGGAGGTAAGTGCCAGGACGAGGGTAAGCAGGCCAGCTGTGCTACTCCTGGTTTGCATCTACTCACCCATAACCTAACTGATGGACAATCAGTCTCTGTCCTATCCATTAGTATGGGGATTCTAGTCTACCTTACAGGACTGCTTTAAAGTGTTTCTGGTTTCATGTGTCTATGAAGTACTTTGAAAATGCTTGAACCATACTGCAAAATTGTAAGCTATATTTGTAATGAAATAGTCCAGCTGAGAATTTATCTTCCATCTCCGGCTGTAGCATTTCATTGGTACCACTAGGAGAGATATTCATAGGAAACTCGAGGAGGGGGGAGTAAGTTTGCAGGAAAGAGGCCAGACTCCCTATTGTGTAAAGTGCTTAATCCAGTGCTTATCAAGCTTTTTTCCCAGTGTACTAGGGATATGTACCATATTTGTGCCCACTGGCCACAACTATTTATTTCAGTGGTTTGGGACCACAACAAGCACTGCCACACCATGTGCTAATTCAACACTCTTGGTTTACATACAGCGTGCAGCAGCATAACTTCCTTTTTTCAAAACTTAATAAAACCCATTGTATGAATCAATTATAATGTAGGCGCATACCTAAAGTTTTGTTTTATGTAGTTTTGAAGATCAAATTAGGTAGGTGACGTCCCCCATTCTCCATACACTGAGTAAACCGATTTGTGGCATTTGTCATGACTCTTGCCAGCATAGCAGGTGTTATGTTGGCAATTTCTTCCTGGATGTTGGTCTTCAAATCTTGTGGGGTCCTTGGACGGTTCACATAAACATGGGATTTCAAAAAGCTCCATAGAAAAAATCTTGTAGGGTCCTTGGATGATTCACATAAACACGGGATTTCAAAAAACCCCATAGAAAAAAATCACAAGGGGCCAAATCTGGAGAGCGGGCCGGCCACTCCAAATCCCCCCTAATTGAGATGAGGCGCTCTGGGAAGTGTTCCCTCAAAACAGCCATCGATGCTCTTGAAGTGTGTGCAGTTGCACTGTCTTGTTGGAACCAAATGTCCCCTAAGTCCAACCCATCTAGCCATGGGAAAAAAAAATTCCGGTAACATGTTTACATACCGGTCCGAATTCACTGTCACTGCGACTTGATTTTCCTCAAAGAACCAGGGACCAATAATTCCAGCTGAGGAAATTGCACACCACACTGTGATTTTAGGTGAATGCCTTTGATGCAATTCTCGAGGATTGTTGTCAGCCCAGTAGCGCATGTTTTGTTTGTTAACGGATCCACACAAATAAAAATGGGCTTCATCACTAAAAGAAAACAATAGCGCCCTCAGGAACGACTTCGAGAAGAATCTCACACGCGTTCCTCCGAGAATTGCAGTCACATTCAGAAAGTTTTTGCACAATCGCCATCTTGTAAGGATGGAAATGAAGATAATCATGAAGAATTCTCACAGAACGATCGGAAAGTCCAAGGGCAGACGCATGTTTGTGCGCAGAACGCCATGGTGATCGCAACATTGAAGCTCTCACTGCCTCAATGTTCTCAGGTGATCTAATGGGCCGAGGGGCTCCAATTCTTCATCTTGTCACACTTGCAGTTTGTCTGAATGTAGTGACCCACGTCACAATTGATTTCCGGTCCAGGACAGGGGCCAATGGGGCTAAATTAAAGCGATTCTGAAAGTCGCGCTGGGTTGCGATCACAGAACATCTGCTCGAAAAGTAGGCCTCAATGGCAAAAGCACGCTCCTCACTGTTGCAACACATGATGGCGACTGAACTGTGTTAGGACAAAACTTTATACTCCCGCCTCTCGAACGAGACCACTAGCGCTCCGCTACGTCTTCAACTGACTGAATGGTGCGCATTTTAAAAAAGGAAGTTATGCTGCCGCACCCTGTATTTCCTTTTTTCTAATAATTTGCAGGCAGGGAGGTCCTTATTCATAATACTGACTTGCCAAGGACTAGCAGTTGTTGGCTCCAGGAGGGGCAACAGTCCATTTTGAGTAGTGCTGGTCTAATCAACAGAGTTGTATCTTGGAGCAGGGTCGGGCAGCATGTAGCCCTAGGATAGCCTTCAGATCAGTTTTAATGCTGGCTTTAGGCTTACTTCTAAATCCCTCTGAGTTTACACCTTTGGCAAGAATGATCTTGCTTTCCACTGGCTGCCCACCAGGCAGACAGAAAAGTAGAGGGGAAAATGCCAATGCTTATTGTGATGGACTACATACAGGCTTGTCCACGGTAGTCAGCAATTACACACAACACTCTTGCTCTGCATGTTATGCAAAGGCTCACTCACCTGTATCACACAACTGAGTACACTTTTCCACTACTGGCTGAGGATCAATCCATGTTGTAGTCTAACTTCCCCTGGCCGAGCATTCTCTATTGATTGATTTATTAAAATAGTCATCTCCTGCCTTTTATTGTGGGATCTCAGGGTGGCACACCAATAAAGCAATTAATTTTTTTTAAAAATCCAGATTAAACAAAACAAAATAATTTGAATGGAATAATTCAGATTTTTAATCTTATCCAATTTAATTCTTTGAATACGGATTAAATAATGGTTTGAAAAATAACACACTGTTAGTCCAAGAAGAGGGCCAATATGGAGCACTAATCTGACCATTTATCTACAACTTTTTGAGATCAGTGTTCAAATCCCTTCTTGGTTACGAAAACCCACTTGCAGACCTTTGGACAACTCAACACAGAGGAAGGCGAAGGCAACCTTTCTCTGAACAACTTTTGGCAGAAAACTTCATTGTAGGGTCACCTTAGGGTCCTCTTTTGTCATAAGGCGGCCAAGAACAACAACTACACCCTGAGATCTTCAGATATAGAGTGGGATTTAAATACATAAGCAATAATACACATATTAAGACAACAGCTTTAATGGTTGTCACAATTTAATAACTGTGTGCAACATGTACCCTTAAAAGTAAATTAGACCCCAAGGGATTTTTTGGCTTTGCATCAGAAAAAAAGAGTCAACACAAACTGGACCTCCAAGGAGAGCCATTCCACAATTGAGATGCCACAGAAGGCTCTCTTGAGCATTCTCTTGACTACATTCTTTAGCACATCAATTTCTGGCTGGATTTCTAGCACTACTCTTCTTTAACCCAAGAAATTGTTCTCTTGGGTTTAAGAAAAAAAAACCCTTATAATTTTCTCAGTTTTGAAGGGGTCCTAAACCCTTAACCAACACAAAAGAACTGCATATATAACTTTACCACTCCCAACCGACATCTGATGGGCACTAGACTGAAGAAGGACATACTCACTATTCAATAATAATAATAATAATAATAATAATAATAATAATAATAATATTTATTTATTTGATCAGTCATATGACCATTTCAAAATAAAACACGAGTTTCCCTCGGGGAAATGGAGCAGTATATAAAAAAAGTATTATTATTATTATTATTATTATTATTATTACTAAATAATAATAATAATAATAATAATAATACTTTTTTTATATACTGCTCCATTTCCCTGAGGGGACTCAGAGCGATTCCCAGGTAACATCACAAAACATACAAAGTACAAAACAACATAACCATAAGATTAACAAAACAAAATATAAGCATAAAAATTGTCGCCATAACACACATATATTAAAAGAATCCTGCCTGTTTAAGGCAGTTTAAAAATTTAAAAAGAACCTGTGCTCTTTGATTTGCACTTATTTGCTGTACATCATAAGTAATTCCGCTCTAGCCTGCCTTTCCCTTCTCACTGGGTTGGGTGCCACTTGCCTGGTTCTCCTTGCACTGCTCTGCCTGTGTCTTCAGCACAGCTTCCAGTTGGGCACGGGTCATTCCCTTCCAGGAACTGGTGATCACGCGGTGTGACCCCATCGTACTTTGGGCTAAGTCAGGATTTTCCATTAGGATGTTACTGGTCAGATGGTTGTGGATCTCTGTAAAGTTGTCATCCTGCTCCCGCTGGTGGGCTAAGCACTGCTGCTCAGCAATCTCAGCAGCCTGGTTGGGGCAAATGATGAGAGATAAGAATTGATGGATCAGATTTTCCTTACCCTGGCCCTTAATAAAGTTTAATGGTGTTGCCACAGTGAGGTCTGGAACTTCACAATCTCTTCTGTCTTTAGCCTGGGCTGTGTTTAGTTGGGTACAAAGAGTGAGCCATTTTTAAATAATTGAAAAGACAGCATGTAGCAGGACGAAGCTTGTTTTCTGCTGCTCCAGACCCCAGCACATGAAATAAAGCATTCAAAATGGAAGAAAAGAATTTTGCTTAAACATTAGGAAGAGCTTTCTTTAAAGCAAGTGCTGTTTGAAGAGTAGTGGTTTCCTTCTTTAAAGGTTTTAAACAAGAGGCTGAATGACCATCTCTCACGAGTGCTTTAATTGTGTATTTCTGCATGACATAAGGTTGGACTAGTTGGCCACTGCGTTCCCTTCTAATTCTATGATTATACTAGCCGTCCCTTGCCACGCGTTGCTGTGGCCCAGTCTGTGTATATGTGTTTTGTGTGTGTATATATTTATGTGTATATTTGTATATATATGGTTTTGTGCATGCATTGTAATCTATTTTTTATTTTTTGGCTTTAGTCTCTTCTGCTGTGTTTTCAGTGTTTTTATGAGTGATGGTCACTCATTGGCCTGATCGGTGATTGTGTCCAAATTTGGTGTCAATTCGCCTAGTGGTTTTTGAGTTATGTTAATCCCAGAAACAAACATTAGATTTTTATTTATGTACTATCCGTCCCCTGCAACACGTTGCTGTGGCCCAGTCAGGTGATCTGGGAAATAAAGTAATGAGAAAGTGTTGATTTCTAATATATGTAATTTCTTTGTGCTTGTTGGATAAACAGTATTTCTTGCTGTTTCTTTGTCAGTGTTGATGTGGAGATTGTCTGGTTTACCTATTCTGGAACATTCAACATATAATTGTCCTTCTTTAGGAGTCCCTTTCAAATCTAGGATACTATATCTGTGTGTGTGTGAATCATATATATCTATCTATATCTATGGCTGGATGGCTCTTTGTCAGGAGGGCTTTGATTACGTTTTCTTGCCCCGGTGAAGGGAGTTGGACTGGATGGTCTTAAGTATTTTCTGTTGGTCATGGGGGTTCTGTGTGGGAAGTTTGCCCCAATTCAGTCGTCCGTGGGCTTCAGAATGCTCTTTGATTGCAGGTGAACTATAAATCTCAGTAACCACAAATCCCAAATGTCAAGGTCTATTTCCCCCAAACTCCATTTGTGTGCATATTTGGGCATATTGAATATTCATGCCAAGTTTGGTCCAGTTTGGTTTGAGTCCACAGTGCTCTCTGTATGCACGTGAACAACAACTCCCAAATTCAAGGTCAATGCCCTCCAAACCCTTCTAGTGTTTTCTGTTGGTCAAGGGTCCAAGAGAGGGTACTGATACCTGGGCTCTATTAAAGTCTGCTACTGCCATGGCCTTGGCCTTGCGGCATTCTTCCTCCAAACGTGTCAACTCCAGGGCTCGCAGATCCAGCTCTATCCTTTTTTTGTCATCCAGGGTATCTGCAACAAAAATAGGAGAACTGCAAAGGAGGATTCTGCCATATAATCTAGGTATTAATCTACTTGGATACCTTTGTTTCTTCCACATGCAAAAATTTCCAGGTAGGATATTTTAGGCACTATAAGAATAACAGGAGAGTCAGTAGCCCCCAGTGGCGCAATGGGTTAAACCAGGGGTCCTCAAACTACGGCCCGAGGGCCGGATACGGCCCTCCAAGGTCATTTACCCGGCCCTCGCTCAGGGTCAACCTAAGTCTGAAATGACTTGAAAGCACACAACAACAACCACAACCACAACAACAACAACCCTGTCTCATCAGCCAAAAGCATTGAAATACTTGTTAAAACTGTTCTTCATTTTAATTATTGTATTGTTTTTAAGTGTTTTTTTTTTGTACTACAAATAAGATATGTGCAGTGTGCATAGGAAGTCATTCATTTATTTTCTTCAAATTATAGTCCGGCCCTCCAACAGTTTGAGGGACTGTTACCTGGCCTTCTGTTTAAAAAGTTTGAGGACTCCTGGGTTAAACCCTTGTGTGGGCAGGACTGCTAACTGAAAGGTCAGCAGTTTGAATCTGGGGAGCGGGGTGAACTCCCATCTGTCAGCTCCAGCTTCTCATATGGGGACACAAGAGAAGCCTCCCACAGGGTGGTAAAACATCTGGGTGTTCCCTGGGCAACATCCTTGCAGGCAGCCAATTTTCTCACACCAGAAGCGACTTGCAGTTTCTCAAGTCATTCCTGACACACACAAAACCAAACCAAAACAAGACAGGAGAGTCAACATAATGCAGTGGCTTCAGTGCTAGACTACAACTCTGAAGACCAGGGTTTGAATTGGCACTTGGAAATGTAACCCATTGGATAACCTTGGGCACATCACGGACTCAGAGGAAAACAATGGTAGACCCCCCTCTGAACAAATCTTGCCTAGAAAATCTCATGATAGGATCACCTTAAGATCAAAATAAGTTGAAAATGGCTTTGAAGGCACAAAACAAGACTAGAAATAGTCCTTTTGACAACAGTGACAAGCCTGTGATGCATTATCTAGCATTTTCCAATTGAGTGGGCTTTAGTTGTGGTGGGCTGCAACTTCCTTAATCCTCTATCAGAATGGCCATCTGGAAGCAACCTGGCAGAAACCTGGGATTCAGTTGTTTTTTATGGTCTTTCAACAAGACTAATGAACAAGGCCAGGACTGGGAATGTTGTAGTTCTCTAGAGATTTTTGGATTGCGACTTCTAGTATTCCTCATCACTCCCTGGGAGCTGTAGTCCAACAACAACTGGAAGGCCACGGGATTACCAATCCTGGACTAGGTAAACCAGTTGTGGAGTTAAAATGAGAGGAGTAAAAGTTAGCAGAGAGAGGGAACATTTGTTAAGGATCCAGCTCCAGCTTGCCCGCCCAACTGCAGAAATTTCATCTGATCTTTCTTTACCACTTTCTTTGACCAGAATGAAATATCCAGAGAAAAAAACCAAGAAAGTAGCAACTAATGAAACAAAGGTGAGTCTCACTACCTCTGAGGATGCTTGCCATAGATGCAGGCGAAACGTCAGGAGAGAATGCCTCTAGAACATGGCCATATAGCCCGAAAAAACCTACAACAACCCAGTGATTCCGGCCATGAAAGCCTTCGACAATACAAAGGTGAGTCTACAATAGGACAACATGAGGAAGCCATTGGGAAAGATAAGTATAAGGCACAATTAAAAGCGGCAGAGAGTATAAGACAGCTCTGATAAGTTCACAGAGTACTTCTGCCATGCTAAACCCACTATGAAATGATAAGGAGTTTTGCTTAAATAGGGTTGTTGTGGTGGTGGTGGGTAGATTGAAATGCATGGACTGGTGGCAGAAGGGTTATATTTTATGAAATACATATTTGAAATGCAGGTGGCTTTTTCAGTAAAGTCTTTTTAAAAGCATCACACAGAGCCCAGGAATCTTAACAAAGCAAGTTGCAAACCAGGATGGGCACCCAGAACTGAATCAATTTTTTAGGGCCAGGAACTAAGCACAAAAAAGCCCCGTTGCACAGATTTTGAGGATGATGGGCATTATAGTGAGACATGTTGAACTGCTGAAAGGCATTTACTTAGGGGAGACAAAAAAATCTCTTGGTAAATTGTGTATCAGAAGATAGGAGTGAAAATGCTGTGGACGTTAATGTCTCTCCCCATTCCCCAGGTCACTCTTTTTCCTGAATAAGGCCATTCTTTTGTCTAACAGGATGTTATTTCATTTTCAGATTTAGTAACACAGTCCCACACATAGTACCAACTCAATACCAAGACTGCCTCATGCTTTCCTACCAAACATAGAGGTTCAATGCATAATTTTGAATGGCACCTCCAAGAATTTAATGAGATAATAATAATAATAATAATAATAATAATAATAATAATCTTTCTATTGTCGAAGGCTTTCATGGCCGAAATCACTGGGTTGTTGTAGGTTGTAGGCTATATGGCCATGGTCTACAGGCATTCTCTTCTGACGTTTCTCCTGCATCTATGGCAAGCATCCTCAGAGGTAGTGAGGTCTGTTTTTTCCTAGTTCCAACAGACCTCACTACCTCTGAGGATGCTTGCCATAGATGCAGGCGAAACGTCAGGAGATAATGCCTCTAGATCATGGCCATATAGCCTGAAAAAACCAACAACAACCCATAATAATCTTATACTCTGGTTTCTCTTCAGATTGTATAAATCTTTCGCCTTTAACAACCCATAATAATCTTTATTTATAGCCCGCCACCATCTCCCAAATGGGGACTTGGAGCGGCTTACATGAGGCCAAGCCCAAACAACAAATTACAATAGAGTAAAACCGAAAACGCAAACCGAAAACGCGAACAATAAACAACATCATAATCACATAAAACATGGAAATACATAACAATATAAAATTACAATAACACAATCACAATGACAATGGGCGGGCTACGTGTAATGATTACAAGATAAACTAATTAAAACTAATTAAAAACTCGGGCGAGATAAAAGAGAGACAGATTATTTGCGGAGGAGGGCTCATTATAGTGGGGGTTGTGGAATCAAGCTTTCCCACAAGGGGGGGGGGGCATATACTCAAATGACAAAACATTGAGGCTAAGCAATAGTGTGGGATTGTATACCTACTCACCAAAGGCGCAGCAGAAGAGCCAGGTTTTAAGGTTCTTTTTCAAGGTTTCTAGGGTAGGGGCTTTCCTAATTTCTCCAGGTAATGAGTTCCAGAGTTGGGGGGCCACAAAGGAAAAAGCTCTCTCCCTTGTACTTACCAGGAGAGCTTGTGAAACTGGCAGGGGCGAAAGAAGGGCCTCTCCAGAAGAGCTTGTCTAAGTTAACTAGGAAATTTTGAGGGATTTAATTCAAAAACAGTGAACTTTTCCCAAGCTCAGTCAAAATATACCTGCATATTTTTGGTCATTAAGTTCCTTTTCCCGTTGACTTATCTGATGTCCCAAGGTGAGTTTATTTAGCTCCTTCTGCAGTTTGTTCTTGGCTTGAGCATTCAGGTCCTCCCCAGCAAAGCGCTGCATGCTGGACGGTCCACAACGAGGGTCATCATCGCTCACACGGGCTGGGAAGTCTTTGCGGGCTGCATCAGGGTCATGGATGTCCCACTCTCGACGCATGAAAGGCTGCTGCTCACGCTCCCAAAACCCCACCATGGCCTGGTTCAGTTGCTTTCTACGTTGACACTCCTCTTCCTCCAACATCTGTGCAATCTTGTCATACTGGACCCTGTATGCATCTGCACAGAAACAGCATTAGATGCTTCCAGGCCCGGAGATCAATGATGAACCCACATATCTTTCTTTAAAAAGCAAGTGCTCCCTTACAGTACCAATTTTATCAAGAATGTGTAAAAGAAGAAGAGGGTGATACTGAATTTTGAACCAAGTAATCATCATTTAAAGCAGAGCTTCTAAGGGCCTTTCCACACAGGCCTATATCCCAGAATATCAAGGCAGAAAATCCCACAATATCTGCTTTCAACTGAGTTATCTGAGTCCACACTCAGATAATGTGAGATTTTCTGCCTTGATATTCTGGGATATAGGCCTGTGTGGAAGTGCCCTCATTCTTTGGCCCCTCAAATGTTTTGAACACAGCAATCTGAAGTCTTAGGGCCCTTCCACACAGCCAAATAACCCAGAATATCAAGTCAGAAAATCCCACAATATCTGCTTTGAATCGGGTTATCTGAGTCCACACTACCATATATTCCAGTTCAAAGCAGAACATGTAGGGCAGTGTTTCTCAACCTGGGGGTCGGGACCCCTGAGGGGGTCGCAAAGGGGTGTCAGAGGGGTCGCCAAAGACCATTGGAAAACACAGTATTTTCCAATGGTTATGGGTATTCCATGTGGGAAGTTTGAGCCAATTCTATCATTGGTGGAGTTCAGAATGTTCTTTGATTGTAATGAACTATAAATCCCAGCAACTACAACTCCCAAATATCAAGGTCTATTTTCCCCAAACTCCACCAGTGTTTACATTTGGGCATATTGAGTATTCGTGTAGAGTTTGGTCCAGATCCATCATTGCTTGAGTCCACAGTGCTCTCTGGATATAGGTGAACTACAACTCCCAAACTCAAGGTCAATGCCCACCAAACCCTTCCAGTGTTTTCCGTTGGTCATGGGAGTTCTGTGTGGCAAATTAGGTTCAAATCCATCGCTGGTGGAGTTCAGAATGCTCTTTGATTATAGATGAACTATAAATCCCAGCAACTACAACTCCCAAATTACAAAATCAATCCTCCCCCAACCCCACTAGCATTTACATGTGGATGCATTGGGTATTTGTGCCCAGTTTGGTCCAGTGAATGAAAATACATCTTGCATATCTGATATTTACATTATGATTTATAACAGTAGTAAAATGACTGTTATGAAGTAGCATCAAAAACAATGTTATGGTTGGGGGTCACCACAACATGAGGGGCTGTATTAAAGGGTCACGGCATTAGGAAGTTGAGAATCACTGATGTAGGGTTTTATTCAGCTGTGTGGAAGGGGCCTCAGCCAGTATAACCGATTCAGTAAGCTGAAGTCCCACACATTTAATAGTCCATAGAAGAGCTTTACAAACTGTTTGTTGCAACATATTAATGTGTTAGCCACAGTGTGTAGGTGTGCTACTTAAACTTAACTAGAAAAAAGCAATAAATCATATATTTTTAAAAAATACAAACACCAAGATTATCATGAGCTCTGTTTCCCCAGAAATCTATATAAATAAAAATGTAATGTTCGTTTGTGGGATTAACATAACTCAAAAACCACTGGGCGAATTGCCACCAAATCTGGCCACATGATACCTACTAACCCAAGGAGTGACCATCACTCAAAAATTTTTAATGTTGTCATTTGGGAGTTGTATTTGCTGGGATTTACAGTTCACCTACAATCAAAGAGCATTCTGAACCCCACCAACGATGGAATTGAACCAAACTTGGCACATAGAACTCCCACAACCAACAGAAAATTCTGGAAGGGTTTGGTGGGCATTGACCTTGAGTTTGGGAGTTGTAGTTCACCTAAATCCAGAGAACACTGTGAACTCAAACAGTGATGGATCTGGACCAAACTTTGTGAATTATGACCAGTAATGTTTTGACGACGTGGCTGTGTAAGTTTGATGATGACCTACAATCAAAGAGCATGCTGAACCCCACCAACAACAGAATTGGGGCAAACTTCCCACACAGAACCCCCATACTTAAGGCCATCCAGTCTAACTCCTTTCACTAGGGCATGAAAACATAATCAAAGCTCTCCTGACAAAGAGCCATCCAGCCATAGATATAGATAGATAGATATGATTCACACACACACAGATATAGTATTATAGATTTGAAAGGGACTCTTAAAGAACGACAATTATATGTTGCATGTTCCAGAGTAGGCAAACCAGACAATCTCCACATCAACACTGACAAAGAAACCAAGAAATACTTTTTACCCACAGGCATAAAAAATAATATATATTAGAAACCAACACTTTCTAATTACTTTTTTTTCCATATCACCAGACTGGGCCACAGCAATGCGTGGCAGGGGAGAGCTAGTTGATAATAACCATGTTGGACTAGACCAAATGCTATCCAGTCCAATATTCTGTTCATACAGTGGCCAGATAAGCTGACTTTTGCCTCAAATGTGGGGCAGGCATGCTGAACCATTATATCTAGTTTTGCCAGTTAGCAGCAATAGATTCCTTCCTAAAGAAACACAATACTATGCATGCCTATTTGGAAATAAAAGCATCCAAAAAGGGTATTTAGGACTGAAGACACAGGCCACAGTCTACAGCTACATTGAAGTGCATTATATTGATCTACACTGACCATATAATGCAGTTTAGTGCAGAACAAGCCTCAGTGGGAGATTGACAAGTTAACAAATAAATTTCACTGACTTCTTGGGTATACTCTAATTGAATCTAAGAAAACCGTATTGAGCGGATGCCTTAGCTCCCATTGAGATCATGAACTTTCCTGAACTTGAAAATAATATTTGTTGGCTTAAATTTACATAAAAGTATGACTACAGGCTCACTTCTCATATCAGTATCCTAGGTGAAGTCCAGCAGATAAACCAAGCAGATACACTTACCAAAAGCTTCATCTCGTTGTTTCTCTGCCTCGTTTCTGAGATTTCGTTCTTCCACTTGTCTTTTCAAGCCTTCAACATCCACCTTAAGAAGAGCGTGGGACATCAATAATAACAGAGGTTGATAGCAGCACAAATATTTTTTCCCCAGCAGATGACATACATGATTATTCCCATCTCTTTCAAGTAAAAGCAGAGGGCACTGTGATACTAAATTTACGCTGGCAAAGGCTCTCCTCTTTTTCACAACTTCATCTAATTCAGAATGAAGTGATAAGACTGTTGACAGGAGCTTGTTAATCTAAAGCATGTGTCCCTGCTCCTGTGGTGGTTTTGTGCACATCCATTTTGTTTCTAAGCTCAAACTGAAGCACTAGTTATTACCTTTAAATTCAAAAATGGCTGATTGAGAAAATACACAGTTTCCTAACATTCTAGAAAGCCCTGCTACATTTTTTCCCCTGCAATTGGAAGTTTGGTTGACGGGACTGCAATGTGTTCTCCATTGACTACGGACCCACCCTGGAGGATTATCCTACTCAGACAACGAGGGATCACCTAAGTAAGTGTTCTCCATTTTTGCTAAGGATCCAAGTTGGTTGTCAACTCTAATATTCAAGATCTTACATTTCAGAGTATATTTTAAATAAATAAATATTATTTTAAATAAATAAATATTTTAAATAAATAAATAAATATTTTGGCGTATAAGACTACTTTTTTAACCCAAGCAAATCTTCTCAAAAGTCTGGGGTCGTCTTATACATGGGAGTAGTCTTATACACCGGGAGTTGTCTTATAGAGCGGGTGCTGAAACTGTGATTGCTGCATATTGTGAGGAGGGCTTAAAAATGGCAGTGGCTGTGTCCCTGTCGTATGCAGCAACTGTATGAAAGCATTAAGGGTGACGCTGTACAGGTACGGTAGAAGAAAATCCATTCATCAGGATTCGTGGACTTAATGCGGTCCCGATGGTGAGGTGAAGGGGCACCTCACCGGGAAGGTGTTAGTGAAGGGCGGAGCAAGGTATAGGCTTCCAGGGCGCCCAGGGTATGGAAAAAAGAGATGGAGTGGCTCTGGGCCAAGAAAAACACATCTCTTTTACCTGTCTGGCCCGCCCTTGTATCCTATTATCTCCTCCTCTGCCTCTCAGATCTCGCTCCTGAAGACTGCAGTGAAGCGGTGCAGGTGCGCAGGTGCGAGATCTGAGAGGCAGAGGAGGTACAGTAATAGGAAAATTACCATATTGAAATCAAATCTGATGCTTTTAAAAAATTTATTTGGTGTGTGTTGGAAGAGGGGTAGTCTTATACGGCGAATATATCCCAAACTCTATATTTTAACTGGAAAAGTTGGGGGTCGTCTTATACGCCCAGTCGTCTTATATGCCAAAATATACGGGTATTTTTAATTATCCAATTATGATGAGAGTCCTAAGGACGATGAACAATTCCAGCTTTAATTATGATCTTCCAGCTACATATTCCAAACCCCATCCTTTTACAGAAGAACATGTGAAGCATGTGGTCTTCCAGATATTGCTGATCTGAAACTCCCAAACAGTAATAGGCAGAAGAACCAATAATGAGAAATGTTGGGTTTTGCAGTCCAACAAAATCTGGAGGGCTGCACTTCAGTGGATTCAAAATGCTGCAGCAAGATTGCTGATTCAGGTTTTATTTTATTTTATATATTATTTATTTATTTACATTATTTATATCCCGCCCATATCAGCCCGCAGGCAACCCAGGGCGGTCTACATATCAGCACAATTTGATGCCATCAATACATACATTCAAAAAGCAAAAACAATTAAGTGCATTTAAACAAAAAAGACAGTGCAAATAACAGTTTAAAAAGAGCTATATATAGATTTCTATCCCGCTCTATCTCACCCCAAGGGGGACTCAGAGTGGCTTCCAATTTTGGCAAATATTCAATGCCACAATTATACAAAAAAACAAACAATACATTAACACAATTAACCATTAAAATCAAAATAGGCATATAAATTACAATTTCAAACAATTAAAACAATACAATTTAAAGCAATTAAGACATGTAGAACAGGGCCCCTCAAACTAAGGCCTGGGGGCCGGATACGGCCCTCCAAGGTCATTGAACTGGCCCTCGCTCATGGTTAACCTAAATCTGAAACTACTTGAAAACACACAACAACAATCCTATCTCATCAGCCAAAAGCAGGCCCACACTTCCCATTGAAATACTAATAAGTTTATATTTGTTAAAATTGTTCTCTCATTTTAATTATTGTATTGTTTTAAAGTGTTTTTTACACTACAAATAAGATATGTGCAGTGTGCATAGGAATTCATTCATTTTTTTTTTCAAATTATAATTCGAGCCCTCCAACAGTTTAAGGGACCTGGCCCTCTGTTTAAAAAGTTTGAGGACCCCTGATGTAGAACATAGCACCAATCCCGAAAACGTCATCCAAATTGCTTAGGTCAGTTCCGTGTGAGTCTATTGCACTTTAATTATACTATTCACCAAATGATTGCTTCCGCAGCCAGGATTTACCCTTTATTTTCTAAAGATCAAGAGGGAGGAGGCTGATCTGATATTGCTGGGGAGGGAGGAGCCACCACCGAAAAGGCCCTATCTCTCATCTCCACCAATCGCGCCTGTGAAGGGGACTGAGAGCAGTGCCTCCCCAGACTATCTTAACGCTCAAGGTGGTTCATAGAAGGAGATATGTTCGGACAGGTAAGCTGGGCCGGAATCATTTAGGACTTTAAAGGCTAAAGCTAGCACTTTGAATTGTGCTCGGTAGCAAACTGGCAGACTGCTCCTAAAATCTATGCACTGTAAGAACTGTTCTATAGAAGCCGTCGGAACATCGACCGCCATCTGTATAGCTGCTACCCATGTGGTCCCCTGCCCCCTTTTGTGTATTGTTTCTGCTGCTTGGGTGTAGCGGTGGGGGCAGAAGGGGAGGTGGCCTGGAGCCTGTGATTGAAGGTGTGGTGGGGAGGGGGGAGGAGGGGGAGGGGAGATGCTGGCAAGAACCAATGCACCTAACAACAACTGTAGGAGACGATGTTCTCATACCCCAGGATTGCGGCATGGAGGGGGGGAGGTGTTCCACTAGCCGAGGGGCCCCCATAGAGGTCGTGGTGGGAAGGAGGAGATGCGGGAGAAGGAGACCTCGAATTCGGTCTAATTCGGACCGCTTATCTAAATTAACCATTCCCAAAAGGTCTCCTAAGGTAAATTGGTGTAACCAGGTGAGCGGGCCCTCCGGCTTGAAGGTGGTGTTGTTGAACGCCAGGTCTGTCAACGGAAAAACAACTTGGATCCAGGATTTAATCCTGGAGGAGCGGGCAGATCTGGCGTGCATCACGGAGACCTGGCTGGATGAAGCGGGGGGTGTAAACCTCTCCCAGCTTTGTCCTCCAGGTTTCTCCGTGCAACACCAACCAAGAGCCGGAGGACGGGGAGGCGGTGTCGCAGTGGTCTATAGAGATTCCATCCATCTAACCAGGGGCCCCATCCCGCAGACCACAAATTTTGAATGCGTCCACCTGAGGGTGGGTGACCGGGACAGAATAGGGATTCTGTTAGTGTACCGTCCACCTCGCTGCACTACAGTCTCCCTACCTGAGCTAGCGGGGGTGGTCTCGAGCCTGGCGGTGGAGTCCCAACGGCTTCTTGTGCTGGGGGACTTCAACATCCACGCCGAGGCAACCCTCACAGGTGCGGCTCAGGACTTCATGTCCGCCATGGCAACCATGGGGCTGTCCCAACGAATAACTGGCCCCACCCACTGTGCTGGACATACATTGGACTTGGTTTTCTGCCAGGGATGGGAGCAGGGTGGCGGTGTGGAGGAGTTGGCCATCTCTCCGTTGCCGTGGACCGACCACTTCCTGATTAGATTTAGACTCACTGCGCCCCCTAACCTCCGCAGGGGTGGAGGACCCATTAAGATGGTCCGCCCCAGGAGGCTAATGGATCCAAATGGATTCCTGACGGCTCTTGGGGAGTTTCCCGCCACCTTGGTAGGTGCTCATGTCGAGGCCTTGGTCGCTCTCTGGAATGGGGAGATGACTAGGGCAATTGACATGATCGCTCCGGAACGTCCCCTCTCAAGTAACCGAGCTAAACCAGCCCCTTGGTTCACTGAGGAGCTGGCAGCGATGAAGCGAAAGAAGAGGGGTCTAGAGAGCGTGTGGCGCTCGGATCCAAGCGAGCCAAATCGAACACGGTTTGTGTCCTTTTTAAGGGCATATGCCGCGGCAATAAAAGCCGCAAAGAAAACTTTCTTTGCGGCCACTATTGCGTCTGCAAAAAACCGTCCGGCGGAGCTGTTTCGGGTTGTCAGAGGTCTTTTAACTCCCCCTATCTCAGGTGGGAGCCCTGACAACTCGGCAGCGCGCTGTGAAGCATTTGCTCGGTTCTTTGCAGACAAAGTCGCTTTGATCCGCTCTGGGCTGGACGCCACATTAAATGCAGTCTCTGTGGATGTGACACAAGCACCTGCTTGTCCGATTTTGTTGGATTCTTTTCAGTTTGTGAAACCCGAGGATGTGGACAAGATACTTGGAGGAATGAGGCCCACCACGTCCATCCTAGACCCCTGCCCATCCTGGCTTCTGAAGGAGGCCAGAGGGGGATTGGCCGAGTGGGTAACGGTGGTGGTTAATGCCTCCCTCCGGGAAGGCAAGATTCCAGCGAGCCTAAAACAGGCTGTTATAAAGCCGCTGTTGAAGAAACCATCACTGGACCCCACTAATTTGGACAACTTTCGGCCTGTTTCCAATCTTCCCTTCTTGGGCAAAGTCATGGAAAGCGTGGTGGCCTCACAACTCCAGGTATTCTTGAGAGACACGGATATTCTGGATCCGGCACAGTCTGGTTTCAGACCGGGACATGGTACTGAGACGGTCTTGGTCGCCTTGGTGGATGATCTGCGCCGGGAGCTAGACAGGGGGAGTGTGTCCCTGTTGGTGCTCCTGGACCTCTCAGCGGCCTTCGATACCGTCGACCACGGTATTCTTCTGGGGCGCCTTGCGGAGATGGGTCTCGGGGGCACTGCGCTGCAGTGGCTCCGATCATTTCTGGAGGGTCGTACCCAGAAGGTGTTATGGGGGGACTCCTGTTCAGCGCCACGGCCGTTGATCTGTGGCGTTCCTCAGGGTTCCATCTTGTCCCCCCTGCTGTTCAACATCTACATGAAGCCGCTGGGTGAGATCATCCGGAGTTTCGGGGTGCGGTGTCACCTGTACGCAGATGACGTCCAACTCTGTCACTCCTTCCCACCTGCTACTAAGGAGGCCGTCGAAGTCCTGAACCGGTGCCTGGCCGCTGTAATGGTCTGGATGAGGGCGAACAAACTGAAATTAAATCCAGACAAGACAGAGGTACTCCTGGTCAGTCGTAGGGCCGAACAGGGTATAGGGTTACAGCCTGTGCTGGACGGGGTCGCACTCCCCTTGAAGGCACAGGTTCGCAGCTTGGGTGTGACCCTGGACTCATCGCTGAGCCTGGAGCCCCAGGTGTCAGCGGTGACCAGGGGAGCATTTGCACAGCTTAGGCTCGTGCGCCAGCTGCGCCCGTATCTTGGGAAGCCGGACTTGGCCACGGTGGTACATGCTTTGGTCACATCCCGTCTTGACTACTGCAACGCTCTCTACGTGGGGCTGCCCTTGAAGACGGCCCGGAAGCTTCAGCTAGTCCAACGCGCGGCAGCCATGTTATTAACGGGAGCAGGACGCAGAGAGCGTACAACGCCCCTGCTGTCCCAGCTCCACTGGCTGCCGATTTGCTACCGGGCCCAATTTAAGGTGCTGGTGTTAGCCTACAAAGCCCTAAACGGTTCCGGCCCAAAATACCTTGCAGACCGCATCTCGGCCTATGAGCCCACGAGGGCCTTGAGATCATCCGGGGAGGCTCTTCTCTCGGTCCCGCCTGCCTCGCAGGCACGTCTGGCGGGGACGAGAGAGAGGGCCTTCTCGGTGGTGGCCCCCCGGTTGTGGAACACCCTCCCTACTGAAGTTAGACAGGCGCCCTCTTTGATGGCCTTTCGTAGGAGCCTGAAAACTTGGCTCTGCGAGCAGGCCTTCAACTAAGTGTATCTGTGGAACGACGTTAGAATGGACTATGACTACGAACCTGGCTATGACCCTAGGATTAGACGAAGCGGATTTTTAGTATAAGTATATGTTGTAGTAGTAGTTTGTAATGTATTGTTATGATTTTTGTATGCTGTCCTTCTATGTTGCTGTTCACCGCCACGAGTCGCCCCTAGGGCTGAGAGTGGCGGTCAATAAGTACAAGAAATAAATAAATAATAAATAAATAAATGGTTAATTATAGGTAGTTCATAACTCCCTTCTAAAACAGCTTTTCAAACAATATTGTCAGACTTTCAATTGATTTCTTTTGTGAACTGCTCTGGGTTCCACTTTGGAAGAAAGCTAGCATGTAAATGAAGTAAATATTTCTGCCTCTACTCTAAAGAACAGCCCTGATACTATTAAATGGCCTCTTCCTGCATTTCCCTCATTAAGCAGTGATGTAACCTCAGAGGGAGAAAAGAAGCAGACAAGAATGAATCATCCCCAGGCTCAAAAACAGATGAAAGGTTCTCCCTACATTGAGTTGCCACTGCTGTGGCTTTGGAGGGAGAGAAGAGGCAGTATCTGCTGGATTTAATCCCATTTTACACAACCATTCCATTTTCCTTTTGTGTTATGTCTTAATTATACTGTAAGCCTGAGGGCAGGGAACTGTTTGGATGTTCTTTTACTTGTAAAGTGCAATGTACAATGACGGCACCATATAAATAAATAAGAAGGAGAAGAAGACAGTCACCAAATATTTCCACTAGAAAGGGATATTCATATGAAAGAGACTTTGCACATAAGAATAACTGTTTCAAACACAGTAGCTATTTAGGGGCTCCAGTAGTTTTCCACCAAGCAGTGGAACTCACCCCCATTTTGCAGTAGCGAGCATTAAAAATGCGGCTCTGTCTTTGTTTCTCCCGATTCCTGCGGGCTTCAATGGCAGCTGCATCTTTTGTATCGGCCTGAATGTCCACTTTATACATCTCTGCACCTGTAATCGAAAGATAGGCTTGTGTGTGATACAGAGGGCCCCATATAGCCCAGAATATCGAGGCAGATAATCTATATAAATAAAAATGTAATGTTCGTTTGTGGGATTAACAGAACTCAAAAACCAGTGGGCCAATTGACACGAAATTTGGACAGCATACACCTAACAACCGAATATATGTCCTTCACTCAAAAAATATTGATTTTGTCATTTGGGAGTTGTAGTTGCTGGGATTTATAGTTCACCTACAATTTGAACTCTACTAATTATGGCATTGAACCAATCATGGCATACAGGACGCCCATGACCAACAGAAAACACTAGAAGGGTTTGGTGGGCATTGACCTTGAATTTGGAAGTTGTACTTCACCTACATCCAGAGAGCACTGTGGACTCAAACAATGATGGATCTGGACCAAACTTGGCACAAATATTCCATATGCCCAAATATGAACACCGATGGAGTTTGGGGAAAAAACACCTTGACATTTGGAATTTGTAGTTACTGGGATTTATAGTTCACCTGCAATGAAAGAGCATTCTGAATCCCACAAACAACAGAACTGGGGCAAATTTCCCACACAGAACCCCCATGTCCAACAGAAAATACTTAAGGCCATCCAGTCCAACTCTCTTCACCAGGGCAAGAAAATGTAATCAGAGCCCTCCTGACAAAGAGCCATCCAGCCATAGATACAGATAGATATATATGATTCACACACAGTATCATAGATTTGAAAGGGACTCCTATTCATGTAAAGTTTGGTCCAGATCCATCACTGTTTGAGTCCACAGTGATCTCTGGATGTAGGTGAACTACAACTCCAAAACCAAAGGACACTGCCCTCCAAACCCTTCCAGTATTTTCTGTTGGTCATGGAAGTTCTGTGTGCCAAGTTTGGTTCAATTCCATCGTTGGTGGGGTTCTGAATGCTCTTTGATTGTAGGTGAACTATAAATCCCAGCAACTACAACTCCCAAATGACAAAATAATTTTTTTTTGAGGGAAGGACATACATTGGGTTGTTAGGTGTCTTGTGTCCAAATTTGGTGTCAATTCATCCAGTGGTTTTTGAGTTCTGTTAAGCCCACAAACAAACATTACATTATATATATATATATATAACATTGTACTATAACATTATACTGTAATATTAGTAATATTACATTTAATATATAATATATAATTATAATATCATATTATTATTATTAGTATTATATTGTATTACATTATAATATAACCAATATTGTATGTGTATACAATATATTATATTATTGAGCCATGGCAGATAATATGATGCTATAATTCCGCCTCTGGACTGAGACTCCCAGCATCTCTCAACAGGCCAGGGCTGCTGGGCTTTGTAGTGCCACAAAGTGTAGGCAACCTGATCAGAGCTGCCCGACTCGCCTGATGCTCACCTTTCCTAGACGGCGCTTGCTTTCTGGTTGCTGTGACAACGAGCCACTTTAAATGACGTCATCTTTGGAAAGGGCTCATTGGCTGCGCTCGAACCTATCAGCACAGTGAGAAGTTCGGAGTAGGCAGAGCTTGCGGCAGGAAGACGGTCCCCTGCTGAGCTGAGGCGGAAAAGGGGAGGAGCTCCGAATGCAAATTTTACGCGGCAGCGGTATCCTATCAGCGACCGCTATGTCCTAAGAGGCGGAGCCTAAAGTGAGCCGTCGTCAACTCTCGCGAGGTTTCAAGACTCCCGCCCTTCTCGTGGACGGCGGCCGAGAGTAGTAATCAAGAGGGGCCTAAGGGGCCTTGTGTCCCCCACCGCGCCCCGTAGTCTTGTTTTACGTCCTCTTTTTCTATCTCCCCCCCCGTTTCCCCAACCCGCGGAATGGGGTTCCTCAAGCTGATCGAGATCGAGAATTTCAAATCGTACAAAGGGCGGCAAATCATCGGGCCCTTCCAGAGCTTCACGGCCATCATCGGGCCTAATGGATCCGGTAAGGAGGGACTCTCCGGGATCTAAGGACACAACACCGAATCGCATGGCATTTCAGGGAAGGGTAGAGTAGGGAGCATGTTCAGATAACCCAGGGCCCTACCACATCCATTTGAAATCCAGATTATCTTATTTGAATTGGATTATATGGCAGTGTGGACTTGTATAATCCAGTTCAAAGCAGATAATATGGATTTTAAACAGCTGTGTAGAAGGGGACTGAGAATCAGATGCTCAGTAACACTACTCAGTACCTGTAGACTGAGGGTCCTTCCAGGCAGGCCCTTTATTCCAGGCTTTCTGTTTATCCCAGATTATCTGGCAGTGCAGATGATATCGAGCCTGAATTTGGGAGAGTCTTCCCGGTAGAAGAGACTCCTAGGACTGCACCAAAGAGAGTCCCTTGTCCTTGGCGAGCCGTCAGAAGAAGCCTGATTCCAGCAATTTTATTGATATTAATAATTGAAATGAGACTCTTGCCAAGTTGAAGAAGTGGCACTGAGGTTTATTAGTGATTCAGCTGAAGCGGATGCAATTGCAGTGATCATTCACATGCAAGCATACCAATACATTGATCAGAGGCGTATTTATAGCAAAATACAGGTTTGAAAGTTTCAAAACTCCCTCCCTCTTTGGCTCCTTAGCAAATCAGGGAGAGGGAGGCAGGACGGAAGAGGGACATTGTGTCCAGAGAGGATGAAACCAGTTTTTTTTGTTCTTGTGATGGATCAGTGATTAGGGATAATCATTTGATTCAGGTTTTCCCCTTCCAGGATCAGATAAGGTGTGTTGGTTTTGATGGGTTTTTGGATGAAACAAACAGAGCCGGGCAAGAAGACCCCTGGGGCCAATTTCGCCCCTTTGTGATTAAATTAAAATGTGATCAGAGAAATTCCCTGTTTATCAGGCCAACTCAGAAAATAAACAAAGAATTTCCAGTTGCTATTGTCCATGCAAATGTCTGTGATAAGGTTGGTTTCGAGGGAACAACAGCCCCCTCGGGCACTGAGTGGTTTTTTCTGGTCGCCTTTTTTGGGGCAAAGGGCAAGTGTAAAGGGGGCAAAAGATATTTCATAGCAAGATACATACATTCAAATCATAAGCATTTCATAGCAACAAAACCCCATCTTTGTCCCACATCCCAAGTATATTTAATAAGAGGATTAATTTTCATGAAGAAGCCTGAAGTCCAATGTTTTAAAAGGTCTTTGAGGAAAGTTCATGAGGGAGATAGTATGTACTGAAGTCCAAGACATGCAGGCAGAGAGTCCATGATCATTGGGAAGGCTGGCAGATGAAACCCCAGCTGTGCTGCAACTGATTCACACTTTGGTCCTTGGGAAACTACGACTCTCACGAAGGGCAAAAGTCCCAAGATCCAGCCATTTCCCAAAAGCCTTGTGGGGTCCTTGTTGTTGTCAGTGCCTTGGCAATGTGACCAAGACTTAACCCCCTACTGTGCAGTCTGGTGCCCTTGCCCTTTGCAGGGCTACAAGTCACCATCCCCCATTCTGGGGGGGGGGGGGTTGCTCGACTTCACAGACTCATATAATCCAGTTCAAAGCAGAAAACGTGGGATCCGATTCTGGAAGGGACCTGAGTCTACACTGTCATATAATCCAATTCAAAGCAGATAATCTGGATTTTATTTGGCAGTATAGAAGGGGCCTTCGTCTTCTTCTGATTTCTTGACTGCAGCGCGTTCTGTTTAATGAGTGAGGCAAAGTATAGAAAATCTTGGAACTATTTCAGTGTTTTTTTTTAATTTTTATTTATTTTATTAATCGAATTTATATACCACCACTCCCTGAAGGCTCTAAGTGGTTTACAACATGCATATGCAATACACTACATTATTATTATCATTAACTTTATTTGTACCTCGCTAGCATCTCCCGAAGAACTCAATGCGGCTTACACAGGCCAAGGCCTCAATAAAAACATAGCATAACAAAATACACAACTTAAATCAAAGCAATTAAAGAAATATCAAACAAAACAATAAAACAATACACCAAAAGCCAAGAAAACAGGGCCAGGCCAATGTAATGGGTACAGGTTAAAAGTGCTGATGTGACAGGTGGTATATCGGATTTCAGGGTAAGTGCAGTGTGCGGGCAATCTTAAACTCTAATAAAGTGCTTCTGGGACATGTTACCGGAGTTTTCCTATTCTGGAAATGCACATTGGAACAGCCAGGTCTTCAAGTTCTTCCTAAAGACTGCCAAGGTAGGGGCCTGTCTGATATCTTTGGGGAGGGAGTTCCAGAGTCGGGGGGCTACCACAGAAAAGGCCCTGTCTCACGTCCCCACCAGACGCGCCTGCGACGCAGGTGGGATCGTGAGCAGGGCCTCTCCAGATGAACGAAGAGAACGCGTGGGTTCATAAACAGAGATGCGGTCACGCAGGTAGGATGGTCCCAAACCGTTTAGGGCTGTGTAGGTAAGCACCTGCACCTTAAATTGGGCTTGGAAAATAAACAGCAGCCAATGGAGCTCCTTGAACATTTAAAAACAAAGAAAAAATTCAATCAACCACTTTGTCTAACTTTAAAGTTATGAAGGTTATCTGTGGTTATTATTTTTGTGGTCATTATTTTTGTTTTCCTATGTTCAACTGTAAACCAACATTTGCATTTGCTTCCTTGACCTTCTTCAGTAATAATTTGGAGTCTTTACTATTCTGTGCTAAAATCTTGAGACTAAGAAACTGTGACAATGAAAACATCAACATAATATTGATAACATGGTTTCAGTTTATACTGGCTTTGCTGTCTCCAACCAGGGAAATCAAACCTCATGGATGCTATCAGCTTTGTGCTTGGTGAGAAGACCAGTAATTTGAGAGTGAAGACCTTGAGGGACTTGATCCATGGGGCTCCTGTGGGAAAGCCAGCTGCCAACCGGGCATTTGTCAGCATGGTCTATTCTGAAGAAAATGTTGAAGATCGCACCTTTGCAAGAGTCATTGTTGGTAAGCTTTGTGGACAAAGTGGCAAAATCTTAGCAGACTTCATATTTGGGATTCAAGAGCGGGTTGTGTGAGGAGCTATAAGATATGTTGCTAGTTGGAGATCAGAACCACAGGTTGAGTTACTCAAAGTGGATGTTGCTAAGAGAATGATGGGGTTTTTTTTAGCCTTAAACAAATATATGGAATATCTGGGGGGAGCCAAATCTTCTGGATGTATACTCAGAAGTGGTTCCCACTGTGTTTTCTGAGTCTTATTCTGTTGCAAATGTGCACATGGGCGAGAACCAGCACAGAATTGTAGTTTGAGTGTTGGGCTATGACTCTGGAGAACAGGGTTTGACTACCTACTCGGTCATGGAAACCTGCTGGCTCATCTTGGGAAAGCCACAGTGTCTCAGCCTCAGAGGAGGGCAAAGCCAACCCCCTCCCCCTGAAGAATCTTGCCAAGAAAATGCATGGATAGTGTTGCCATAATTTAGAAACAACTTGAAAACACACAGCAATAATTCCATTACAAATGTGCATGTAGCTATAATTTTAATCAAGTCTGAAGTCTTTCTTTTTAATTTCCCTTGTACTTTGATTGTCATTCACATTCCCTATGTGATCTTTGTCTTGGTTCCCCGTCACAATAGTATTATGTTCCTAAAGCAGAATCATATATCAGACTGACAGCAGACACAACTATATAAATACCAAGCTTTTTTATGAATGAAGAAGACATCTTTTTTCCAATTCATTTTTCCCTGAAAGTTCTTCTCCCTTCCCATGACCACATGCATGAAAAAATTAGAGAAAGTGTGATAAGTTTCTCCTTGGGTTTCTTATTTAGTTGGAAATAATTGAAGCCTGTGTCTTTTAGGAGGCTCATCAGAGTACAAAATAAACAACAAAGTGGTACAGCTGAGTGAATACAGTGAAGAGCTGGAGAAACTGGGCATTCTTATCAAAGCTAGGAACTTCCTAGTCTTCCAAGTAAGTGGGTTTCTCAGATTTCTGTCTCAGCAAAAGAATGCTTGCCTCTTAGCTGTAGCAGAAGAGAGTAACATGTAATCAGATGTTTTGGCACTTCCCCAGCCTGAGTTTTGAAAGGCAGCCCAAGAATATGGAGCTTTTTGTATTACAGAGTGGGAAATATGCCATCCAAATGCTGTTGGACTGTACCTCTTTCCTATCCTAGCCAGTGTAGCCAATGGTGAGACAAACTGGAAGCTGTAATCTGGAGGGCTATATCTTTCATGTGTCTTTTACAACAGATCTGGCAAGTGTTTAGGTGTTTTGTGTGGGTTCATCCAATTTGGGGAGGGGGAGGAAGATGTGGATGGGATTCTGTCCCAAACAGGCTTACTGGTCACACTGTTTGTCAACTTATATTTTTGCATAATATTTGCTTGCTAATGATCCTCAAATCATTGACTATTGTGCTGTTGTAGCAAGTGCTGAATATGTTGCTTTGGAGGTCGTTTCCCCTCATGCTTGTTGAGCTGGCACTCTTTAAACTGCACAGTGCTAAAGCAGCAGCCAAAAACTCCAGCTTGCTCTGTCTTGCCCTCTGTATGTCCAACGTTTCAAAAATCATGGGGGCTGCTGGGAAGGGTGTTCTTGGAAGCCACGTGTGCCATTTTTTCCTGGCCTCTG